CTCTGGACCCTCGCCGTCTGGACCCCCCCTCATGACTATGCATGAGCTCGTTTTCATAAGCTCATTTACATAAGCTCATTTACATAGAGCCTGGCTGGCTCATGTCCTCCTTGCTCCCCGACTCCCCCGTAGGAACAGGAGTCCTGGGCCGCAGTTGTGTACACTTGACGAGGACAGTCCCTCTGGAGTGGGGCAGGGGAGGCAGGGGCTGGAATCGGGGAGCGGGGGCAAGTTCAAGTCCCCCCCCAGGTCTCTACTGCCGCACCTGCTTCCGTCTCCTGAGCAACACCTGCTCGGTGTGCGCGGCCCCGCTCTCCGCCCAGGAGGGCCTGGACTTGGAGCTGTGAGTCTTTCAGGGGTGGGGGCCGGGGTCTGTGCAGCACTGGGAGGAGCCACCCGTCCCCCAGAACGTCGGTGGGACATGGGGGGCTTTTCCAGGGACTCCAGTGACGAGGAGAGCCCCCGGCTGTGGCAGGCTGCCGCCCGTGGAAGGGCCCTGGAGCAGAAGCCCACGGTGCAGCCACAGGTCCCGGAGGTGCTGGGCGAGGACTTCTTAGACGAGTCCACCTCGGAGTCCAGGTGAGCCGGGGGCAGGACCGGCACCTGGCGACCGGACGCCGAAGCAGGGCGGTCACATTGACACGGGGCTTCCTGGGTGCCTGCACTCTGCTGGGCTGGAGGGGAGATGAGGGGAGAAGAGGAATTCGGGTTCACTGGGTGCCTGCTGGGGTCAGCACTCCTGTGGGACAGCACCTGATAAAGCAGTGACACTCTACTGGAACGGGGACATGTTAATCCAGGCTTCATGGGGCGGGAAGGGGGGGGTCTGGCTGCAGACATCAGAGAACAAGAATGGGAGTCCACCAGGTGTGGCCACATGGCCAAGGGCCTCACTAGCCACCTAAAGACCTTAAGTTGGGCAGGGTAGGGTGGCCTGAGCCCATCACCCCAGCAGCTTGGGAGGCCGAGGCAGGAGGATCTCCAGTTCAAAGCCAGCCCAGCAACTCAGCAAGACCCTGTCTCTAAATAAAATACAAAGAAAGGCTGAGGGCGTGGCTCAGTGCCCCTGGGGTCAATCCTCAGTGCCAAAAAAAAAAACAAAGAGGTTAGAAAATGAAGGGTTCCTATTTGTCCTTTGAGACCATAAACCAGGCAGGCAGAGCGGAGTCTGGGAGGAGGCTGACTCAGTCCAGAAGCTGCTGATGGCCTAAGGACCAAAGGTGCTGAGAGTGACCAGGAGCTATGCTGGGGACAGGGCAGGTTTTAGGGCAGGAGGAATAGGATCTGGGGAAAGAGGACTGGCCCAGTTTGAGATCTGTGAGGTGTCTGTAGGGCACGCAGCTGGGGGTGCCCAAAGGGGCAGGGCTCTGGGCTGGGGGCGCTTCCCCTGGGCTTGTTGATTTAGAGACTAAGAGAGAAGGAGTTAGATTATCCACAAGGCACGGCAGGAGACAGGGGCCGAGGGACTGGGACAGAATCCTAAAGGGCTCAATCACAGACCTAAGAGGGAGGTGCTCAAGAAAGCAGGAGAGCGAAGGCCCTGAGGTGACCCAGGAGGGCGAGCACTGGCCACGGAAAGACAGTTGAGAAACCACTAGTGTGGCGGGTGGGACCCCCCTCCCAGTCCTGGGGATTGGACCCAGGGCCTCACATGTACCAGGCAAGCCCCCCACCTCGGACCACATCCCCTGACCTGGCGGGAACACTCCCCCCCCCCCCGAGTTGGGAAGGCCAAATAGATCATGATGGACTGAGGGGTGACCGACAGAAAGGACTCAGAGGCAGGTGTGTGCCTCCTGCCTCACATCTGCCAGAAGTCAAATGATTCCTTTCACACAAATGTTGTTAGAAGCAGGAGGCCTGCTGGGCAAGATGGCACACACCTGTCATCCAGGTACTTGGGAGGCTGAGGCAGGAAGATGGAAAGTGTGAGGCCAGCCTTGGCCACTTAGCAAGACGCTGTCTCAAAACCAACAGAAAGTGCAAAAGGAGAAAGGTCCGGGATGTGTCCTGCGATCCCAGAGTCAATTCCAGTACTGGAGGGGACTAAAGAGAACGTTTAGGAAGTGGAAGAGAGAGAGCATGGAAGAGGAGGGGTGGGGTTTAGGCCAGGTGGAGGATGTGGCCTTGGACAGGAGTGAGGAGCGGAAGTCCCTCTGAGCAGAACTGAGCCTGCTCCGGCCCCGGGGGGCCTTGCTCTTCTCTGGGGAGCAGGAGGCAAGGGCAGCTGCTGGGAGCAACGAGGTGGCTGAGAGTGGAGGAGAGGGTTCAAGGAGGGGGCGGTGGAGGCTGAAGTATCTGCTATGGGGAGTATGCAAAGAGGTGACCCCGAGGCCCAGGGATTTCCAGGTGATCCTGAAAACCAGGCCGTGTTCTTAGTCATGAGTTTTCTCTGACAAATGTGGATTCAAGGGTTGAGGGCTGCCTCTGGGCAGGTTAGGGGAAGAACAAGATGGGAACTGGGGCTTTTTCAGTGTCTGGCAACTGACCTTGGGGAAGGTGAGGAGCTCCGTCTTGGGGAGATGCTAGAGCAGGGCAGGGGGAGGGGGAGAGCTGGCTGGACCGGAGCGCTCAGAGTGGCCCGAGAACCAGGCAGAACTCTGGACCTACCTAGTGAGTGGTCAAGGCTGGGGAGGACTGTCGGAGAGCAGAGGTGAAGGCTGTCAAGGCCAAGGAGATTCAGGATGGAAAGTCACAGGATTGGGTCCTCCTATGGTCTGCTGGACCACAGACTCAGCCCAAGGGCAGTGCTGGCCTTCCGGATGCATGCTGGAGGTGACTGGGAGGCCTGGCTGTCACAGAGCCAGTGACAGAGCTGCTGTGACAGCCAGGGGCTTTACAAAAAACACTGTGGGCCAGCTGGGTTTGAGAAGGCTAAGCTGCCCCCACTTGGGTGGAATGCAAAGAAAAGTGTCCTGTGGGCACATTCCAGCGCGGATGGTGGCTGGAGGTCGCGAGAAGCCACAGCTGAAGGGGAGGCAAAGCTTCCTTTCAGAGGTCCCCGGAAAGTGAAGAGCTGGATCAGCAAGGGGGCAGCTGGGCCTTGAGCAGGGGTGATCCTGAGGTCACCAGTGGTTCCACCCTTACTGGCCAGGTGGCCTCTGCCAGATCACTGTCCACCTGTCCCTGGGCACCAGCCTAAAGTCAGATGTCTAAGCCATGGGCTAGTGTGCCTCATGGGCACAGGGGTGGCTGGTGAACAAGGGGAGAAGGCTCTGGACAGACGGGGCAGGGTATCTGTCACCTGTGAAAACAGGACACGGGTGACAGGGCTGCCCTGCGGCTCTCCTCCCTAGTGACCTGGATGAGGAGCCCTCAGCAGAAAATTGGGCTCAGAAGCTCCTGCCTGAAGCCCATCAGCCTGTGGGCACTCCCATGCCCGCTGGGCCCCACTGACCACCTGGGAAATTCTTTATTCCCAAAGAGGCTCCCCTCTCCCTCTCCTCCTGATCCCTCCCACCCGCCCCAAAAATAAAGGAACCAAAAGTGGACACAAGTGTGAATCTTAAATTATTATTATTTCTTCCTGTCGCTTACACCCGAGGTGGGGGGGTAGGGGAAAGGGAACAGGAGAGGGGGGGATGCCTCCCCCCCTAAGGCACTGACCGGGAAAGCCGCAAGTAGGGAGAAGGGAGGCCATATTGTCCCCACTCTCTGGGGCTGGGCCCCAGGTCTCCCCAGCCCTGGGCTCCCCCCATCACCTGAAATGCTAAGATGAGGCCCAGGGCACCCGACCTCCCCTCCCACCCCAATATATTACATCATCACTTTTAAATAGATACAGGGACTGGTCCCGCTACCCCTCCCTGTAACCCCTCCCCACTGTTGGGGGTACCTGGGCAGCTGTGCAAATGGGCATG